GTGTACGTGCAAATTAGAATTTTGACCTCCCCCCCTCTCTTCCCAACTCCTGTTTCAATTCTGACGTACGGGGCCATTAAATAAAGTCATGGGCATAAACCGAGTTAAAACGGCGGGTTCCCTGTGGAAGCCAAAGATCCGAATCGTGGATTTCCAAGGATTTGTAGGTGACGGTTGAATTGACTGGAAGATACGGGTCAGACTTTTAGAATAACTGTATCATAATTTGTGCATAATTGTTGGTAAATATTCTCCCCTCCCCCAATTTTTTTTCCACCATGCTATACACAAAATCTCCTAAATTATCGACCTTCTCTCTCCCCCCCCCCTCCAGTGCTGTACCACCATGTTGGTTGGTTAAACTTTAAGTAAGCTGACCAAAATGTCATATTTTGCACATCGGGAAAAAATTCCTAATCTTATTTTGAGTTAAATAACTTGAACAAAGATAAACATGGACGGAGAAGGAGTACTGAGGAATGGAACTGAAGCTGTATCCTTCCTTTCCCAAACGCATTCTGGTTCTGTTTCGTTGCTGCATCCATGTACTGGCATTTTTGCAACGGTTGGGGGTATGATGTTGCTATTCTAATAGCTCCTAGCTGATGCCAGGGCAGCCTTTAAGCTTTCGACTGATGTCAAGTTCACAGTTGCATCGTTCAGGTTGTTCCATGCCATTATTGTTCATGGAAAGAAAGATTGTTGATACTGCACTGTGTTGCACTGAGGCACTTTGAAGCATTTGCTATTTCTACTACTAAACTAATTACCGGTACAAAACATCGTCATGATAGTCTTATTATTATGTAGTATAGCCTTTTTGAAGATAAATCATAGAATTTCACAGATTTTGAGAGCATGAAAATGTCAGGATAATTGTTACAGAATTTGTGCATAAATGTACTGTACTTTCTTCACATAACCCTTTCAGTGAGGAAGTCAATACATGTGGATGGTCTCATCCTGTCTATGAAAATGTCAGCTAAGGGCTTAAGAACATAATACATTTATGTATGCATTTTAAATATGTGCCCACCCCCAATTCAACAACAAAAAAATTTAAAAAAATAAAAACCAACAACAACATAACAATCAAGTCAAACTCAATGGATAATAAAATAAAGCTGAGGAATGTACTTGATGATTGTGTTTTATTTATCTTTATATGGGCCGAGTCACAATATGAAACACACATGATGATAGATTTCTCTCTCAGATCAAAAGCAGACTAACCACACTTTATTGGTTCAAACATTCACTCTCTCTGTCAAGCACGGTTAAAACATACTCTGAGATAACTTTTACAAGAACCATCCATAAGCATATTGATAAGTCATTATGATTTATTTTTAAAAAAAATCATCTCTAACATATCCAGTCGGGATCAGGCACAACAAACATACAACACACATACAAAGCAGTATAAAAAAAAAAGATTTAAAAATGTGTCAGTTAGTGTCAGTTGACCTCTGGACCTTCTCCTCCAGGCACCAACTGGAATAAAAGGGTAACATAAGTTAACAATAAGTTCAAACAGATACAATAACAAGGATTTCTTCATGTTTTAGATGGTTTTGTTCTGTGCCATCTTAAAGCATGGTCCCATCTAAAACCCATGGTCCCACCTAGGTAAATGGAAATCTGTGCCTGTTGGCGGATGTACGGTGTCAGTTTTTGTCTTGAATAATAATATGATAAACCTATGTTCATATACTAAGTAAGGTTGCGCTGAAGCATTTCCTGTGTATGCACTGCACTGGAGAAAGCCTGATTTTCAAGGCTTAATTTAAAAAAAAAATAATATTTTTTGTATTGTGGGACAGCGGGGTTGCAACAGGATTTTATTGGCCTACAAAGATAATGATACCTGTGTATTGAAGACAAGTGATTTGAGGTAATATTAATTGCCAATGACTTTGACCAAAGAATATTCAAAAGGCTTTATATAAACCACTGTCCTAGCTTGTAACTTGTATTTTTTTTAATAAAAAAGAAGTATATTGAATAAATTTAGTGTGCATACTTCTATTTCCACAGCCAATTGAGGAAGCTGTTCTTTGACTACCGCCATTTCATCCCATTTGCTTCATAAAATTAGTTGTGAGGTAGAAACCCACTGAAGAAATTAGAGAGTCTGATGCTTCCTCGGGATGGTAGGGCGAAGATTTTAGGACGTAAATATACCATCCCGACTCCTGGGAAAGTCGACTGCTGACGCTGTGAGAGCAGCATCACGAGCCGACCAGATATTCTTGGGCTAGGTGGCCACCATTGGCATCTGGAAGAGTGAATGCTGGCAGAGGCGGTCCTGGCGAGGGGAGATCTCCAACTTGCTGCTTCGCGGCCTGATATTTGGGCTTGGGGGTGTGTGCTTTGGAGAGGACATAAAGAGCTCACTGACACCCTTTTCTAATGTACAATTTCAGTGTGTATGCTGTGTGAAAATTTTAATTTAAAAAATAAATAATGTTGTAAAACATTTGTATATCTCTTGTGTCTGTATTTGTGTTAAAAGTTAAAGAAAAAAAATCATTTTCTGTTAAGAAAAATTAGGGAGGCTTTGTAAAATATCTAAAAATGAATAATAATTATAGTACAGTAATAATTTTTTCTTTTAGTTTAGATAATTATTACTCATAAAATATTTCACTATTTAAATAATTGTACTATTTGGATTTTGCTTATGAATATGTTTTCATACATCTATATTCAGATTGAAATGATTGTTGAATTATCGTTACTTTCTTTGATTTTGTAAGTCATTGAAAGTCAATTGTATTGAAAGTACAAATAAAAATAGGCTTGATTCTATTAAGTACCGGTATGTATACTTTTATTTAATTACCAGGTACTTAACTTTCATAAGTTAGAGTGGACGGAGGGGGTCTAATGCATTACTTTAGTTAGGGGCCCCATAATTGTTAGGATGTCAGGACACCCAGGTTATGATGTGTGATAAGGGTAGGACGCTTGAACGCTGATAACCGTAATTATCACATTTTATGTTCCCTTTTATAGGTAAAATAATTTTTGTAGTAGTAGGCATAAAAAAAAGAAAGAATTTCATGAATGATTTAATTTGATAAAAAGTGTTTTCTTTAATCTGACTGCAACCCCTGCTTCATAAATTATAATTTTAACAAATTTCTGTAATGATTTTTACACACTGTCATATCACCTATTTTTATACCGGTATATAAAAATTTTTTTTCATAATACTTTGTTCCAAGATACTATGTGAACCGAAAGTGTTTAACCCTTTGACCCCGCTTTATCTGTCTGCGCTTTTTAAATCCACACCCCGCCATACCAATATTTTTGTCTACCATACCTTACCATAAAATGTATTGAAAATTCTAAGTTCAGGATTTATCCCGTGACTTGTGAAAGGTACCAGTAATGGCAGCTGGATGGCCGAATGGTTTAAACTGAGCAAATCTCAAGTTGGTGGTCTGGAGTTCAACTCCAGCCAGAGCCCAGTCAAGCAAAAACACCACCAGCACCCCGGGTAGATGGGACTCGTTAACCTTGGATGGCAACCCATCTAAGAGAAGGCAACTCTGAAATCAAACCCGGAGATGGAGTCCCGAAAGGCGGATAACATTGATACAATGAAACATTCAGACAACTTCTGCAACGTCACTGGTGCCAAGCTGTATCATCCAATGATGTTCCCTTGGGTTACCCAGAGGCGTGGAGAGAGGCGATTTGCTGTTGGGAACCAGCTTATAATCCTTGAAGAATAATCCCAGGCCATGTGGATTATGACGGACGGATGCCAGCAAAAAAATGGCAGCGCTCATGAATGTATTGTTTTTGTTATGCTTTCTCAATGTATAAAGGTGACCAAAATACAAAAATTTCTATTCTCAAGAACAGACTTGAGCAAAGGATTATTTTGTATATATATAGTGCTATCGATGTGTGCTTTGGGAATCAAATAAACAACACAAGATCTATTCCTAGTTCAAGCCAAGGCTTTTATGAAAAATCAGGGTCATATAAATGAACTATTCTTAAGCTATTTCACAACATTTCTAACACAATTTTCTCCTTGTGAAATTTGTTATAATACTTATGGACAACTAAAGACAAATTTAGATTGAAATAAATAAAATAATTTTATAATCATTTGATTTTTTTTGCTCGTTTGTAGAATTTTTCCCCAGGAGCATGGGTATTTAAGGACCAGGAGCCCAGGGGCTTGGGTATTTTAGGACCAGGAGCCCAAGGCATGGGTATTTTAGGACTAGGGGCATGGGTATTTTAGGACTAGGAACCCAGGGGCATGGGTATTTTAGGACTAGGAACCCAGGGGCATGGGTATTTTAGGACCAGGAGCCTAAGGTTTCAAAGCAAAAAACAATAACAAATTCTATTAAGGAGTTGTTCATAAAGGAAATCTTCAAAAGAGATTGCAGATATCTTTTATGGAATGCAATCAAAAGAAAAATAATACAAAAATTCAATTTACCATTGTAATGTTGTTTCCATTCAGTAACAGTTTATCCAATTTGGTTACCCTTCTCCCTTCTGGCGTACTTTCACTAAAATAAAAATAAAAAATCAAGCAAATGGGTAATGGTATCTTACCTTGTCTCAGATGTAAAGTAATTAAATTCATAAGTAATAATATTTCCAAACATTTCAAGAAATATCAATCAAGATGGTCAATTTAAATGGAATCAAAATAAGATATGAAAAATGTTCTGTTAATAGCCCAAGAGCCTCAAAACTACTGACTTTATATTGTTAACAAAGTAGAAATAGAGGAGTCCACCTATGGAACACACAGGCCCGCTGCCTTCATGAGTCCAGTTATGGGACACACAGGCCCAATGCCTTCATGAGTCCACTTATGGGACACACAGGCCCACTGCCTTCATGAGTCCACTTATGGTCAACACACAGACCCGCTGGCTTCAATAGTCCACTTATGGTCAACACACAGGCCCACTGCCTTCATGAGTCCACTTATGGGACACACATGCCCAATGCCTTCATGAGTCCACTTATGGGACACACAGGCTCACTGCCTTCATGAGTCCACCTATGGGACACACAGGCCCACTGCCTTCATGAGTCCACTTATGGTCAACACACAGGCCCACTGCATTCATGAGTCCACCTATGGGACACACAGGCCCGCTGCCTTCATGAGTCCACCTATGGGACACACAGGCCCGCTGCCTTCATGAGTCCACCTATGGGACACACAAGCTCTAAATAATTCATGTAAACATGCAAAACCGCTAGATCAGGGTCGAGATCAGGGGTCGAGGACATTTTTGTTTTAGCCCTTAGACCAAAATACACTTGTTTAATTAAGCCGGTGTTACCCCTGATTTAAAGGAAGGAAAATCATAGATAATATAAAATCAAAATGGCTTATTGTATCTATTTACTGACTCTTTGATGAATTTTGTGAAACTCACTCTATGCTCTAATGGACAAAGCCTAACTAATTCTTTAGTTTTGTACAATTTATTCACGCTCCACGGTGCATGTTTAATGTCAAATGTATATTTTTTCAATTAAGCTCTGCCATTAAGTTGATAGATTAAGCAGAAATAAAAATTATAAAAAGCCGATACTGTATTATGCAATTCTCACTTATTTTGTTTCAAAATAATGTTTACAAAAAAGAAGATAAAGTTGTAGAAAGTGATAAAAGCAATTAAATGATATTATTTAATGTCATTAAATTAAATCAAGTTATAATGACCCAATGAGTAATGCCATTGTTAGGGATATGCTTATATTTAAAATAAAATATGCTACTATTACAATCAATAGACAATGTAGTTTTTTCTTAAAACTATATAAACAGATATCAAATTTTGTTCTCAAAGCCACTACTACTGGTAAGACTCTGACTATCTACCTGTACCAGTAAGTAAATACAGGGCACTGATGCCCCACAACCAGATTCTATATTTAAAATTTACTTCAAAGAAAAGCCTACACTACTGATCCCAAAGCTCACTGTTAAATTGAATGGAGAAATAATCACCAACATTTAATTTCTTGTAAGGAGCAAAAAAATGTTCAGATGGCCATCCCCCTTATTTCAAAAGTGTTTTTCTAAATCCTGTGAAAATCTGTAAAAAGCTTGTTACGCACTGACTTGTATTGGGAGAAATTAATCTCCTATTTTAATTTTAATTGGCTCGTTGTAAACAGTGCCTAACAAAGGACGATACCATATAATCAACAATATTAAAGATACGACCCAAAACAGTTTCTAGTTACAATTAATTAAGATTTATTATGTCTTAAGATAATTACAAAATAAAATAAAATTACAATCTTCAACTTACAGTATGGCAGATGTCGTACCGGTACACAGTTAATACAATTAGAAATAATGATGCCAATAAATAATTGTTACGCACTGACTTGTATTGGGAGAAATTAATCTCCTATTTTAATTTTAATTGGCTCGTTGTAAACAGTGCCTAACAAAGGACGATACCATATAATCAACAATATTAAAGATACGACCCAAAACAGTTTCTAGTTACAATTAATTAAGATTTATTATGTCTTAAGATAATTACAAAATAAAATAAAATTACAATCTTCAACTTACAGTATGGCAGATGTCGTACCGGTACACAGTTAATACAATTAGAAATAATGATGCCAATAAATAATACGAATTAAACACCTATAAGTAGGAGCACACAAATACACAAAGAATAAAACACGCCTCGTAATGTTAAGAGAATCTATAAGAAAATCTCCGTCCGTCCGTTCTCGTCCGTGCCTGTCAATCCCTTATATAGGTGGGTCTACCGACGCCTAAGCCCTGCCTTCGATAAATTTCTAGAAAAATCAAAATCATTCTACAAAATACTATTTGGAACAGATTAATTAATTTTATTCGTTGGCGGCGTAAACAAGAAATACATCAAAGACCTAAGCCACACCCCTTTGTGAACACAGCGTCTCATGCGGGGTCAATCAGAGGGCACGCACGAGAAATATTATATGTAAACAAGCTCTCTATAACAAGCTGTACAAATCAGAAAATGTATAAAATCTGTTCAAAGTACGGGTAAAAGTATCACTTGGGTATAAATTATAAAAGTTTAAATTAAGACAACAAATATTTTTTACTTACAATTCTGTAACATCTTCCAAGACCATATCTTAATAATGTTTTAAGGAAAATCACTTACTTAAAATTACACACCACCATCATTAAAATAAAACATCATTTGCCCTCCGAACATAATTTTATGGTTTCGTTTAACGTTTCACATCCTGAATTTCTTGCTGTCAGATGAGTTAGAAATAAAACCCAAACATTTTTGCACTGTCGCTGTACCCAGTAGGTCTTCTTTGTACATTAGATTCAAGCGTATCTAATAAATGAATAAAGGATTTCATCTTGTATTTTTTGCTTTTGCTTTGAGAGAGTTGATCAAGAGCTCTGTTCTTATTTCTTGGTATTCTTTATCTCACAGTGCTTTAGTCAAAATGGGGCTGCATTAACATGGCCTATATGTGACTAGGGAAATCAGTAATAGCACTTTTGAATGACATTGCAAAATTTTAATAATAAAAAAAATTTATAAAATGAGGTTTCTTAAACTTAAATTTTGAGGGGCCTTAGTTAGTCTTAAATTTTGGAGGCCCTCGGCTAAAGCCATTTAGCGCATATGAAAATCCAAGCTCGGAAGAAAGGTATCAATGAGTTTTAATTAATAGCATTAACTGACAGTAAATTTTTATGCAAAAAAAAAACAACAAAAAACTGAATAATGTAATAAAAATTTGCCAAGTATGTCTGCCATCAAAAGGATACTGACAAAATCATCAAAACCTAATAAAATACCGACAATCTCTTTATCATTTTTCATTATGATGTGAATTCTGGAGCCGATACATTTATCAACCAGCTCTGAAATAAAGAAATAGAAATGCAAAAAAATGTGTACATTACAAAATTACACCATTTAAAAACTGAACAAACTGCTGTATACTTCTTATAAAATATTTTAAACTAAACAAAGACTAGAATTAGTAGAATATTAGCTGCACAATGCTTTTCTGAAAAGTGCAGTGGGGACTGAATGTACTTATCATTATTCTTTTGTGATAAATAAACAAAGTAAAAAAAACAAATATTTTGTTGTCCTAAACTGTACCGGTTTCAGCTCGTTAAAAACCAGGACAAATTTAAAAAAAACCAGTGCCAGTAGCCTCAGTAGGCCTAAGTCTAAGTCTAAGTGAATAAGTGATGAGTACTGGATTTTCCTGGTAAAAACAGTAACACTGTAATTTTAATCTGTACCAGTGTAACTGACTGCAATTCGTAAAGTAGTGCAAAGTGTAAGATGAACTTCTCAATGAGTTATGAATTATGAGTACCAAGAATAAGAAGTTTAAAGAAGTAGGCAGTAGGTAGATAATTCGGTAAACCAAGGGAGGCTACTACTTTTTATGTATCGGAAATGGCAATTGGCGCCGAAAAATCTGAGTTTTTAATTTTCCGATGTGTGTGTTTATTTATTATTAAATGAGTACTTTTGACATATATTTGAGTTCCGTTTATGGCCTTATATTTAGGTAGACATCTTGGCCTACATTTACATTCATTTGTTTTAATTTTTCAATCGACCTGAATTTTGAGATTCCCCTTTAAATATATGGGATCTTTCACTATAAAATTCGTATAGAAGTTCAACTTTTATGTCTTTAAAAAAATTCTTATTCTGTATTGTCGATCGATGTGTATTTGTGTCAATTCTCATTGAGTTAGGACATGTCGGTCACTTGTTATGCTCACTTGAGTAAACCCCTATATGGTAATGTAGCTCAGCCCAATTTCGATAAGGAAGTGGCCACGCCCCCCTTTCAGTGGCTGAAGACGCTGTTACTTAGGAAATATTTAATTATTTCCACTATTTACATCAAAATATTTGATAACTTATGTTTTAGAATGAATTTAAATGTTATCGAAAGAATAATATTTAAATTTGAGGTTAAAAAACCCGGCAGAGTCCATTTTATAAATGATTAAAAATTCGCCGTGTGCAAAATGTATTGGCGGCCATTCACAGTGACTTGTATAATGGCTATTATTTACTACTATCTCAGAGTTTTCATTCATAAAAGTTTGCCGTGCGCAAAAACTATTAAACTAGGTCAGGGAAAGCTTTAATTAATTAGTCATGTACCAAAGTTGAAAGTTCAATAGTTCCCAAACAGTATTTTCGTAATTAGGGCATGAGTTGCCTTATAATATATAGACTATATAGCAAATATCGGTATAATGGACGTCGTAGATTTGGTAAACAGAAAAGCGATATATTAATACATTATATTAAATAGGAATTTTGAAACTAGTCGACGCATCGTTATGCGCATGACCTAAAATGTCGAAAATACTTGTTCCACAATTTTGGCTTAGGGCTACACGGTATTTCGGAAAATTGTGTTTTATGTCATTTTGACCATTAATAATTGCTGTCATCATTGGTGACGTCTCAGTTTTTGTCTTCCGGTCATTTCTATGAAATCTGTGCAAAGAGGTTTTTTATGTGTCACGATCAGGATTATCATTATCACCGAGTAAGCATATATCACATAATATTTTTTTAATTAGTTATTTTAGGCAAATAAGATGTAGTTCAGTGCATACTACATTCATTTTGAGAGTTTTTTCATTATTAGAGTATATAATAGACTTTGCCCCACAAAAGTTATGCATCTCCCAAAGTAGAGGGGGTACGAAAATGCCCCCAAATTAATTTTGTTTTGTTTTGATCCAGGACCCGGAAATGGCTATTATCTCTGTCAATTATGAAGTGATTCGTTATTATTAAATCCTTAAACATCTGATTAAATAAAAGAAAATTAAAATAAATATATATTCAAAAAATTTAAGAAAAGATTATAACATAACTTAAAAAGTTTATGTAGGGACCAAGGGTTGCTCCCATTTACTAAATAATTTAGTTCAAAATATTAAATAGTACTAAATAATTTAGTTCAAATTAGTAGTCGTAGAAAGCAATAATAATAATAGTTATTCAATTATTCTCTTATTATACTTATTGACTATTCCTACAGGAGAATTTTAATAAGGCCATCATAATATGTTGTTGTTTAGTTTAGAATTAATTATTAAATTAAATTGCTTTTTTCATAGTCTAGTCCAGGGGTCTCCAAACTACGGGGCGGCCCGCGAGGCCCTCTAATGCGGCCTGCAGAGACCTTTGTCTACGGAAAAAAATTACGGAAATGTACGTGTATCCTGCCAAGATCAGACATCGCTTACGTGGACGTTATGTTTTTACCGAATTAAAATAGAGGAGTGCAGTACTGCGTTATGTTTTCTAACCGATAATTATTTTGCAAAACCTTATTCGCTGTTTAGTTTTTCTACTTCCTTATACAGTCAATGAAATTAGAATATATAACGCCATGTAGTGGCGCGGATATTTGCCCGCCGTGTTGCAGAAATGGGTGAAAACATTGTGACTCAAATAGTGAAAAAATGCAAGCAAGTTTCCCCAATTTTTTATTGAAATGGATGAATCGCTGGACAGCTGTTCCACCTCTCAACTGCTTGTCTTCGTTAGGGGGGTGTGGATGAAGACATGAACATAACACAAGAACTGGCTTCCTAAATAGCATGTACGGAACTGTTACCGATGAGTTGAAAAAAATATTTGCTGATTTTAACTTGGACTGGACTAACCTCAGTTGCCTGACTGTTGACGGAGGAAATAACATGAGTGGCATAAAGCAAGGCTTGGTTGGACAAGTGAAGGAGATTTGTAATGAGAAAAAAATTCTGCAAACAATGTTCCTGCACTGCATTATTCACCAGAAACGTGTGCTAAATATGTGGACATTAGCAGTGTACTGAAACCTGTGGTGAATAGGGTTAATTTAATAAGGTCACATGGGCTCAACCATAGACAGTTCAGAAATCTGTTGAAAGATACAGACACAGAATCGCAAAATTTACCATTTTTACACAGCAAAAAGATGGCTAAGTTGTGAGAAAGTTCTGAGCAGAGTGTTTAAGTTAAGAAAGGAAATAGCTGACTTCCAGGAAGGTAAAGGCAAGCAACAGGCATTACTGTCTGATGAAGAGTGGGTATGGAAAATGGCAGACATAACTAGTCATTTCAATTTTCTGAACATAAAACTACAAGGTGAGGAAAATCTAGCTTTCCTATCTATACACCCACCTAAAAGCCTTCAGATCCAAATTAATCTTTTTTTTTGGAACAAGTACATGTTAACAACTTGACGCACTTTCAGCAGTGGACGGTCTTCATGGCTGAAGCAACAGCTGAGTCCCCCCACATCATTTGCATGCGAGATCATCAAAGACCCCCAGCTGCAGTGTCAGCAGTGGTTTTCTGACTTGGATTTAAAGGCAGAAGAAGTGAGACTTTTTCAAAACCAATTTGAAGCATATGTGACCAGTTGCCCAGATGAACTGCACCTGGAAGTCATTAAGTTGCAAGCAAATAACCTCCTTAGGGACAAGTTCAAGGAAGGACTGGTGGGTTTTTACCAGTTTTTGCCCAAGGAAGACTTTCCTAATTTCAAAACTTTTGCATCAAGGTACCTTTCAATCTTTGGAACAACATACCTGTGTGAACAAACATTTTCAAGAACGAAATATGTGGTGAGCAATTTGAGAACAAATTTGTCCGATGATAATCTCAGGTCACTGTTGATGTTAGAGATATCAAATATAAATCAAGAAATGTCTGTTAATCACTGCTATTTTGGCATCCAGGAAACAATTTCACCATTCATACTAATACTAATACAGGTGTTCATGTGTCGTTATCAATGTGTTATTAAATAATAACTGAATGAAATAATATTACATAAATAATTAAAAACAACATCCATGTTTTGATTCTTTTCTATTTGGACCTCGAGTATGTAGTCGGCTCCCAAACTGCTGTTAGATAGTTAATTCGGCCCTCGGGCTGAAAAGTTTGGAGATCGCTGGTCTAGTCTAATACATACAATACACAGGTACTAATAATTTTCCAATTTTTTTTTTCTTTTTCAGGCTATTTGCACTTTGCTATTTAAGGCTATAATTGTAGTCTTTGAGATTTAAAGTCATAATAATTATTACCATTGATTTAAATTTAAGCTATAAGTTTTATATTATTATAAATTTTATAATACAGCATTAATTAGATATGGACTATTGATTTTGTTGTCTGTTCACTTTTGCCTGTTTTTAATTATAATATTTATTAACATTATAATTAAAATATAGATTTGATTTTATTGTAAGTATTGTGTAAATTAAATAGTTAATACTTTACTTTGACTTAAAAAATTGAATGAATCATTGTTGTTTGATTATGAAATGATCATTTTTTAAAATCCTTATCATAATAATTATAAGTATAAGGTTATTTATTTTAACAGTTCTCATTTTTATTAAAAGTAAAATCCTATAACTATACTATAACTAAATAAGTTATTGTATTGTATTATATACAGTAACATTTTATTTTATAACATAATTCTCAGTTGCTAACTCAGTAAAATGTCTGCAGAGCCCAATGTGAGCATTTCTGATTTCAACAGCTTTGTAGCAAGCTTTGCTCAAGATGCAGAGTCAGAGACAAAAGTGTTTAGAAATGGCTATGCTGTCTTTTTTCTAGCAACAGAACCAACAAGAAGGTAGGCATGAAAGCTGCTGTGACTTTGCTTGATGAATATTTCCAACAAGTTGATAGTAGCTACCAGTCAAACCAGGGTGCTGTAAATGGCAATGGAAAAAAAGCTCCGCGATCTTGAAAAGCATTTAAAACGTAACTGGAAAATTATTCAGAATTTCTTGTTGCAGCCACTGAAAGCACCAAACAGCAAGAAGAAAAAGTTGGTCAGTTCTGATGTTACAACTACAGGAATACAAGGCGAGTGTTTACTTCCACAGGTAGATCAACATCTGACTAGTTTTGTTCCACAGGAAGATCAACTCAATTTAGATGTCCCACCACCAGCAAAGAAGTTGCGCACTGATTTCAGTGACAAGGTGAGACAAGTTAAGTTGAATGCCAAGTCTCTCTGCAGGTCCCCTGAAATGAAAGTGTGGACTCAGAGCCTTAAGAGAAAGACGGTAAGGATCGAGACACTGAAACGAGAGAAGACAACGCTTAAGACTAAGGTTCGACACTTGGAACAACAGCTGGGACCATCAGCAACGAAGATGGAAAAGGCCAGTCTACTGAGCAGAAGGAACCGCATCCTGCAGAAGAAGGTCACCAAACTACAGGAGGAGGTGTATCTGCTGAAGGCTACACTAAAGGCAATGACCGAGGACAGGAGAGAGGCACTCTTGAAGGTGGATGAACTGATGGAGGTGTCTGAGAAGGGTAAAGTAATCATTATTTTATTATCTCTTTTATTACCTTTCAAATTCTTCTTTTTCAGGCTGGTATCTTTTCTTTTAATGTTTACATATCTTTAGAAAATTATTTTGTGTAAATATATTACTGTGAGACCCATTGATTTTCATTTTTACTTGATAACTTTTTAAAATAATTTTTACATTTTCCTTTTCTAGGCTATCTTTATTAATTTTTTTTTAAATTTTCCTTTTTCAGGACATTTATTTTCTTTAAAAAAAAAGGTAACTATTAAATTTCATATTATAGTATTAATTATAATTAAAACAGCATTGATTAAATATTTGTTGGGTATCATTACTTAAATGTATGTACCGGTATCTCTGACTTTTTCTTTTGGAATACTGGTACATTTTAAAAAATTATTTTCCTCCCTTTTTTTTCTTTTCAGAATATATTAAATTCTTCATCTCACACAGGTAAATGTTAATTTAATAGGTTTTGGTTTAACATTTATTGTCTGTAATTTATTTACAAACTTACCATTAACCATTTTATTGTTGTCAGTTTTGACTAAATATTTGAATAATTTTTTAATAACATTTCTACATCTCTTTTCGGGATGTTATATTTTAATAATTTACTAATATATCTATATTTATTTTCAGGATGTTTTCAGAGTCCCATCAAATAAGTAGTAGCACTGATTCATTTCATGTAATTAGTTTATTGTATGGACCTTTGATTTAAAAAAAAAAAAAATTTAATAATTTTTATTTTCAGATATATTCAAGTTCCCTACAGAACATAAATTAAATAATTTAAATTTTATTTGATATTGTTATTGTTTGACAATGGAATTAACCTGTATTTTTTTTGTTTTTCATGTAAAAATTTACCCAAACAATTTTTTTTTTACTTTCCCTGCATAAACATTTTTAAGAATAAATATTTATTATATAATTTGAAAATTTTGGGTTCATTGTATTGTGTTGTATATTGGATTAAGAATATCTAATGAAAATTTGGTATCATTATCTTTAAAAATAAAAAAGTTATGAGGAAAAAGTGAAAAAAATTTAAAAGCGGGTCACAAGTTTTTTGGCCGCATATATAGCTTATATAAGGAGCATACTAAATTTGAAAAAAAAAATCATAACTCCAGTTCTATAAAAGATAGAGAGATGAAATTGGTGTCGTTAAAAAGCTTACAGCTAGCCCTTTAAAATGATGTATCATTCATGGCAATTGGACAATATTTAAATTTTGTGTCAAAGTACCTATATTATAATTAAATTTACTGATTTAAATGGTGCAAAGTTAGATAAGCTACAATTTATCTATAATTGTTAACATTATTAAACTTATTTTTTTAATACAGAATTAGTTCTGAAAATAAAATTATCATTACCGGTAAAACAAGAGTTATACAGCTTGTGACGCCAACAGCGGAATTGGGTCCCAGAAAATGTTTTAAAATTAAAAGGACAAATTAAGTGGTACTTTAAAAATTCATAACTTTAAAACTAAAACAGCTAAAAATAGGTTTTTGTTGCTATCAATCTTTTAAAAATTAGCTCTATTCAACTATGCCATTGGTTTATTTTTTTTATTAAGTTTTAATTTTGTTATCAAAATACCTTCAGTAGGCCTAAGCCTAAGCCTAATTGAGATATTGTGAGAAGAATGGACGATGGTCACCTAAATTAATTAATATAAATAATAACTTTACAATTTACAATGCATTGGTGACCGGTGATATAGGGACTGAATTAACATATCTTCATTCGTGAAAAAGAATAGGAAAAACTATGGATATAGGGCCTAAAATATTATATATTTTACCAAGAGGTAGCAGCTGCGTTGGATTCGCGAAAGGAGTTGTCGCCATTTCTGAACATTCGATCAGTCTAAATACCAAGAATTGCAGAAAGTTTACTTACAGTTGGCGATGGGAAGCTAATCGATTTCTAAGTGGCTATGCAGACCCGGAAAAGAGTGAGAGGTTGGGTTTAATTTAAAAAAAGAAAAGAAAGATTTCAAATATTATTGTTGGGTTTGTAAGACAAAATTTGGTATCAAATGAACGATAATTGAAGGGACTGTAAACTTATTTCTTCAGTTAAACTAAAAAAACAACAAAAAACAACAAACAAACAAACTACCACAGAAGACATCCGAATAGCATAATTTTCATTTAGTCTGACGAGACCTAACCTCTCATTTCTGAATCCCGGGTCCGAATAGCCACAGCTCTTTCGACAATATATTAGCATTTTTTTAGATTAAAAAATGTTGTTAGGGCTAATATACCGCTAAATATTTAAATATTGCTTCTAGTAAAAGAACGGGTGTTAATTGCCGTTTTTTTCACTCACCCTTCTGCTATTACTATAAATTTTGCTTACTTACTCCAAAGTGGTCCAAAGACACGGGTACCACAGGTGAAGGGAACCCTTGCACTTGTCCAAAGCACATTAATCTGCACCCCCATCAAAAAGTTTATTTATAATTTATCGTTTTATTTTGTATTAGCTTATCTTTTGGCTAGATCATAGCATACGGATACGGCAAATAAACTAGGCAAAAAAAAAAAAAAAAAAATTTAAAANAATTAATTCTCATCTGACATACATATAATTGTATGGAAATATATAGTGTTTTGTGTCCAACTAACATTACAATACATTATAAGATAAGTGATATAGTATGTTTCTTTCGGTTGTCATTTCCGAGGCACAAAGAATAAAGAGGTGAGCCTCCATCACTCCAGGTTAAATTGAAAGGGTGGGGGTGTCGATCGATAAATAGAGGAGTGATAATTGACTTAATATTTTTACATTTGATTTTAATTAATAATCTCCCTTTAATGTGTGTAAGGTTTTTAATTGGTGTCTTGTTTTGTGATTGTTTTTAAAAATTATGTAATTGGTGGTTAATAAGTTAATTTTTAATAAATCTCTTGTAGTGTAATAATTTAATATGAATTTTAAATTAATTGTCTTGTAGTGTGAATTTTTAATGAGTGTCCTTGCATTTTATTTATGTTTATTGGGTGTTTCTCAGTATTGGGTTGGGGGGGGGGGTCACTAGTCATAAGGTGTTTTTGTTTTATTTTTGAAAATAATTGTCATAATTTATATACAACAATAACAACATTAGGACATCGAGAACGAAGATGTCTCAAACAATTTAAATAGGTTTATTTACATTATACGAATGGATCCGGCTTTTCAGAGAGACCTTCTCTCTGTGTCCTCTTGGATTCCCTGGGGGATAAGTCTGAAGACATCTTTTGACGTCGAAGGTTTTTTTTTTCTTTGCTGATTATCATAGCGTCGTATATTTCCATACAACAACAAATCTTCTTTTTCTATTGATTTGTTTCTATGGTGCAACAAAGTTGATTGGTCTTTTGTACCCCGGTCGTGTTTCTTATGTCCAAGAAAGTTTCAGAGACACAACATCGTACACTCATTGTCATTTGTTACTCAACATTCGACATAAAACAGTGGATCATCTGAGATTATGCAGTTTTATATTTCCTTATGATCATCAAGGAGACAAAACTTCTGTTTGGCATTAAATTATTATATATTTTTTTTACTAACAATAACTTGTGACTTCTAATAAATGATGACCCCCGTCCATCACCTACAAAGACGTCCGTATCGTGGTTAGCTGATTCCTTTTTTCGGTCTATCACTAACACAATTAAGTTTTGAATAATCAGTTAAAAATTCCCCCCCCCCCCGTATACCCTCTTCCCCCTT